CCCTAGATTTGAAGAGATCAATATTAAGCGATCGAAGATATATTCATTCGAATGTATGTTCCACAAAGTAGGGGTTCCTGGGAAGAGGTGCTGTTTATGAAGATAACGATTGACCCTAGATTTGAAGAGATCAATATTGTAGCGATCGAAGATATATTCATTCGAATGTAGAGATATTCCATTCGAATGTATGTTGAAGAGACGAAGTAGGATCGAAGATATATTCATTCGGTTCCTGGGAAGAGGTGCTGTTTATGAAGATAACGATTGACCCTAGATTTGAAGAGATCAATATTAAAGCGATCGAAGATATATTCATTCGAATGTATGTTCCACAAAGTAGGGGTTCCTGGGAAGAGGTGCTGTTTATGAAGATAACGATTGACCCTAGATTTGAAGAGATCAATATTGTAGCGATCGAAGATATATTCATTCGAATGTATGTTCCATGAAGATAACGAGTAGATTTGAAGGGGTTCCTGGGAAGAGTATGTTCCACAAAAGTGCTGTTTATGAAGATAACGATTGACCTAGATTTAGATTTGAAGAGATCAATATTGTAGCGATCGAAGATATATTCATTCGAATGTATGTTCGACGAAGTAGGGGTTCCTGGGAAGAGGTGCTGTTTATGAAGATAACGATTGACCCTAGATTTGAAGAGATCAATATTGTAGCGATCGAAGATATATTCATTCGAATGATTTATGTTCCACGAAGTAGGGGTTCCTGGGAAGAGGTGCTGTTTGTTTGAAGATAACGATTGACCCTAGATTTGAAGAGATCAATATTGTAGCGATCGAAGATATATTCATTCGAATGTATGTTCGACGAAGTAGGGGTTCCTGGGAAGAGGTGCTGTTTATGAAGATACCCTAGATTTGACCCTAGATTTGAAGAGATTCAATATTGTAGTTCCTGGGAAGATCTGTTTATGAAGATAATATTCATTTCGAATGTATTGTTCGAAGATATATTCACGATGTTAGGAGTTCCTGGGAAGAGGTGCTGTTTATGAAGATAACGATTGACCCTAGATTTGAAGAGATCAATATTGTAGCGATCGAAGATATATTCATTCGAATGTATGTTCGACGAAGTAGGAGTTCCTGGGAAGAGGTGCTGTTTATGAAGATAACGATTGACCCTAGATTTGAAGAGATCAATATTGTAGCGATCGAAGATATATTCATTCGAATGTATGTTCGACGAAGTAGGGGTTCCTGGGAAGAGGTGCTGTTTATGAAGATAACGATTGACCCTAGATTTGAAGAGATCAATATTGTAGCGATCGAAGATATATTCATTCGAATGTATGTTCCACGAAGTAGGGTTCCTGGGGGGTTCCGATTGGGAAAGAGGTGCTGTTTATGAAGATAACGATTGACCCTAGATTTGAAGAGATCAATATCAATATTAGAAAGGATCGAAGATATATTCATTCGAATGTATGTTCGACGAAGTAGGGGTTCCTGGGAAGAGGTGCTGTTTATGAAGATAACGATTGACCCTAGATTTGAAGAGATCAATATTGTAGCGATCGAAGATATATTCATTCGAATGTATGTTCCACGAAGTAGGAGTTCCTGGGAAGAGGTGCTGTTTATGAAGATAACGATTGACCCTAGATTTGAAGAGATCAATATTGTAGCGATCGAAGATATATTCATTCGAATGTATGTTCGACGAAGTAGGGGTTCCTGGGAAGAGGTGCTGTTTATGAAGATAACGATTGACCCTAGATTTGAAGAGATCAATATTGTAGCGATCGAAGATATATTCATTCGAATGTATGTTCCAAGAAGTAGGGTTCCTGAAGGAAGATTTGGTGCAATATTTAGCGATGAAGATAACGATTGTTCCCTAGATTTGAAGAGATCAATGTTTATGAAGATAACGATCTAGATTTGAAGATATATTCATATAATGTATGTATGTTAAACGAAGTAGGGGTTCCTGGGAAGAGGTGCTGTTTATGAAGATAACGATTGACCCTAGATTTGAAGAGATCAATATTGTAGCGATCGAAGATATATTCATTCGAATGTATGTTAAACGAAGTAGGGGTTCCTGGGAAGAGGTGCTGTTTATGAAGATAACGATTGACCCTAGATTTGAAGAGATCAATATTGTAGCGATCGAAGATATATTCATTCGATTCGAATAGGGGTTCCTATGTTTATGAAGATAAAACTAGGTGCTGATTTGAAGAGATCAATATTGTAGCGGAAGATATATTCATTCTGGGAAGAGGGGTTCCTGGGAAGAGGTGCTGTTTATGAAGATAACGATTGACCCTAGATTTGAAGAGATCAATATTGTAGCGATCGAAGATATATTCATTCGGATGTACCCAAAGTAGGGGTTCCTGGGAAGAGGTGCTGTTTATGAAGATAACGATTGACCCTAGATTTGAAGAGATCAATATTGTAGCGATCGAAAAATATTCATTCTCGGAAGTTTTTTTCTGTTTATGAAGATAACAAATTTGAAGAGAGGTTTTGTGGATCAAAAAAATAGAAGTTTTTTTCACAAATTAAAGGTTTTGTGGAAGAAGTGTCGATTATGAAGATAACGATTGACCCTACACAAAGTGGTTAAGAGTGTAGTGATCGAAGAAATATCCTCTCGGAAGTTTGTTTCACAAATTAGAGCATCTACAGAAGTTAAGAATGGCCTTTGGGTCATGTATAATGATAAGGAATCAAATTTCACTCAAATTACAAACACACATTGATTGCTGATGCTAATAATAATGGTAATGGCGTGCCACTTGTGTCCGACTATGCTTGTCTAATAAGGCGTCTAGCCAGTTCCTGTTTCAGACGCTTGTTCAGGCACATTTGTGTTTGTTCAACACCAACAGAAAACCTCCCCTCTGATTTATACTGCAGATTTGCTGAGCGTACTGTTTCTGGGAGAGAGTGCATTATCTGGCGTGATCAGAAATCTTAACAAGATCAGTACGCTCAACCCCTCGGCCACAATGACTTCTGACTTCGTGCTAGCGCAACCATCAATGTTTCCCAAAAATCTATTTAGCCAGTTTCATCCACAAATTATGGTTTTTAGACACTTAGCAAAGGTTGCTTCCCGCTGGGATCGCCTCATCAGTCCAATAACTTCAAGAAGTCATCTTCCTGATTAATCGATTATGATGAGATTCGAACTCTGGTCATCTAGTCTGAAAGCGAAAATGTCTACCCACTCGGCCATGTGCCCATAATGTTAATACAGCAGAATCTCACATTTTAAAGTTTGACAAAAATATCAATGTAATAGCCATTAAAACACTTATATTAGTCAGTTATGTGCCATGCGTGATACACGCTTAGGCGATCATGTATCTTTCGATACATGACTGACGAGGCAGATTTTTTCCCGCATTAGGTTGCCATGTCTTTCTGCGTTCGACCAGTTTCCATCCAAGGCGATAGAACTCGGCGTGTCTTTCTATTTGCCCATAGCTCGAAAGAGAAGAGTATTCCTACCTTTCCAAGGGTATTAGCACGTAAATGAATGTAATGGCCTCAATTGGACTCCGGATCCTCAGTCCGAGCCGCTATCCATTACTCTACGACCTACACTTATATCACAGTTGTTTAAACAAAGGGCTACAGTTTTTATTCGTTTGGTTTTCAAAAGGACATCCTCGAAATGGTGACCTCTTTGCTATTGTGGGCAATTTCTAAAGTTTTCCATCACCCGAAGAGTTATTTCCGGCGGCATTTCTGTCACTTTTTGGGGATAGTCCTCACCCAGCGAAAATTCTTCAACGGTTGCTGGTCGATGTCAGTAGACCTCAGCTTTCAAGAGAAAATAATCGCAGGGTGGGGTGACAAGATCAGGCGAGCGTGCGACCAGCCAATGTCAACGCGTAAAGAAATCAAATGTCTTGGAAACATCTCTCTCAAAGCTTCCATCGATCTTCTCGCTGCGTAGAAACCGCACATCCGGTTTCCCAAGGTCTTTGAGTTTCGGTTCCAGAAAGTTTCGTGGCATCTCCACATATGGGTTAGATGTTACTCTAACGGGGTGGTTTTCCAGTCAAAAAAAAAAAAAAAAAAAGATCCCCACACACGAAATTTTCCAACTGCATACCACACAGTCATTCGTTCGTTGTCTCGAGGTCTTTCATGAAACTGTCTATGTTTAGTCCCCACCCAGCGAAAATTCTACCTATTGACGCAGCCAGGGAGATGAAAGTGATCTTCATCACTTATGAGAAGAATTGCATTTGCTGAAAGATTTTGAAGGATATCGTCGCAACATTTCCTTAGTTGCGTTCTTGCAGTTCCTGAATAACCATTAATTTGTCTGGATGGAACTTCAGATGAGTGCATAAAATTCTTCTGACTCCTCGTTCAAACAACTCCAAAGCAGAAGTACATTTAGGGGCTGAACGCGTAGGAGACTGCAGAACAAACTGTCTCACAGCCGGGACATTTTAGGGGTTAGAGAGCTTGGTGGTTTCTTTTAAGCGCTAAACATGCGGCCCTTAAGTTTTTAATCAATAACAGGATCGATTTTATATCCGAAACAGCATAATTCCTCGATATGAAATAAGCAGGAAAGGCTCCCCGTATCTGCAATTACAGATTCTTTAACAGAAGAAGAGAAACCTCACTAGAAGAATAAGAAGTCATGAGAAGAAGAAAAAGAAGTCACAAGAAGAAAAAGAAGAAGTTAAGAGGAGGAGGAAAAAAGGAGAAGTCACAAGAAGAAGAAGTCACAAGAGGAAGAAGTCACAAGAAGAAGAAGAAGATGATGATGATGATGAAAAGGAAGCGACGAGAACAAGAAGAAAATGAAGGAAAAGAAAAGAAAAACCGGAAGTTGACACGAGGAAAGAAATGATAAGAAAAAAAAAAGCAGGCAAGAAAGAAAAGAAGATAAAAGAAAAAAAGTCATAAGAAAAAAAAATGGAAAAGAAGAGAGAAGAATAAGAATAAATTATTACCAAGAATGAAAGAAATGAGAAGAAAATGAAGATAAATGAATCACAAAAAAGAAGGAAAAGAATAAAAAAAAGAACAAAAGAAAAGAAAGAAGTGAGAAAATGAAAAAAGAAGACAATAGAAAAGAAGTCTCAAGTGGAAAAGGAAGAAGAAAAGGCAAGAGTGGATGGAAAAGAATAAAAAGAAGTTAAGATAAAAAGGAAGAGATAAGATGAAAAAGAAGAAAAAAAGAAGAAAAGACATGAAAGGTGCTGTTAGAATAAAAGAAAATGGAAAACACGAAAGAAGAAAAAAGAAAAAGAAAAAAAAAGAAAAGAAGTCATGAGAAGTAAAAGAAAAAAAAGACAAGAAAGAAGCGATAAGAAGATAAAGAGGAAAGAAAGAAAACGACAAGAGGAGAAAAAAGAATAAAAAAGAAATAAAAGCAAGAAAGAAGCAAAAAAAAAAAAAGAAAAAGAAATGATGTAGCAAGAAGAAAAAGAAGAAAAAAAAATCAAGAACTGCGCGGAAAGGAGTAGAAGAATAGTAAAGACCTAAAAATAGGAGAAAATGAAAAAAACGAAAAGAAGTCACAAGAAGAAAAAGATAAAAAGACAAGAAGCAAGAAAGAAACAGAAGAAAAAAAGAAATGAAAGAAAAAGACAAGAACAGATCGAAAATAATAAAAAGAAATAAAGACAAAAAGGAATCGAAAAAGAAGAAAGTCGTAAGAACAAAACAAAGACATGAAAGATGCTCTAATATAAAAAAAAGCAAAGGTATGTAAGAAGCAACACGAAAAAAAGAAAAGAAAAAATGAAGTCACAAGTCAGAAAAAAAGATAAAAAGGCAAGAAAGAAACGATAAGAAGAAAAAGAACAAAAGAAAGAACAGAAGAAATAAAAAAAAAAGAACGGAGTGGAAAGAATAAAAAAAGAAGTAAAGACAAGAAAGAAAAGAAGCACCTCCATCTCCAAAAAAAAAAAAAAAAAAGAAAGAAAGAAAGAAAGGAAATTATATCGTAAGAAAGAAAAGAAAAAAAAAACTGGAACGGCGAGGAAAGAAGAAAAAGATGATAAAACAGGAATGGCGTGAAAAGAAGAAAAAGACGTAAAGACATGATGGAAACGACAAGAAAAAGAAACAAAAATGAAAATAAATCGCAAAGGGAAAAGACAAGAAGAGACTGAATGGAATAAAAAGAAATAAAAACGAAAGAAACAATAAGAAGAAAAGGATGAAAGAAAGACAAGAGAAAAGAATAAATAGACAAGAAAGGGTAGAGGAGAAGAAAGAAAGACAAGAGAAAAGCCAGACGACAAAGATGAAATTAGCATCAGGAAGAAAAAAACATAAAGGAAGAAGCAAGAATTCCATAAAAATGATTAACTAGTAAGCAAGAAATTGTCTATTGAACAAGAAGAAAAGTGTGATGGCGAGTAAAATATGGTACGTGTAACAGGATTGAGAAAAACGGATGAGTCTGCGAAGTTGAACCACTTTGAAATCGGAGATAAGGAGAAGATGTATCGACGATAACGAATACAGTTCCGCAGAGAGGCCATAGGAATGAACGACTCGGACGAGTGTGGAACTGCTATCGAAAGAGAATCGTTGATAACGAGAGAAAGATGGGTGATAGTGAGGAACAAAGATACAAAAAGTAGGTACACACAGACACACACACCCAGAGGGAGAGAAAGAGAGAAAGAGGGGGGAAGAGAAAAAGAGAGAGAGAGAGAAAGAGGGGAAGCGAAAAAGTGTTATTAAGAAAAGAGAAGGTGAGAGAATTTCGTAAAGAGAGAGAAAGAGAAAGAGAAAAGATAGATAGATAGATAGATAGATAATGATGAGACTGAGATAGATATGTAGATAGATTTGATCAACCTGAGATAGATAGATAGATAGATAGATAGATAGAATCAAGAGCCTGAGATAGATAGATAGATAGATAGATAGATAGATAGATAGATAGATAGAATCAAGAGCCTGAGATAGATAGATAGATAGATAGATAGATAGAATCAAGAGCCTGAGATAGATAGATAGATAGAATCAAGAGCCTGAGATAGATAGATAGATAGATAGAATCAAGAGCCTGAGATAGATAGATAGATAGATAGATAGATAGAATCAAGAGCCTGAGATAGATAGATAGATAGATAGATAGATAGATAGATAGAATCAAGAGCCTGAGATAGATAGATAGATAGATAGATAGAATCAAGAGAGCCTGATAGATAGATAGATAGATAGATAGATAGATAGAGAGAGAGAGAGAGAGAGAGAGAGAGAGAGAGAGAGAGAGAGTGACCAGCCCATGCATTTGTAGAGAAAACATTTTCAAGAGGCCCGTGTTAGTTGAAGTGATTAAGATGTATGAAATCAATTGTGCAGTTGAGTTATTTTCTTGGAAAAAAAAAGAAAGAAAAAGAAACATGAAACTACCATTTTTGGAGTTTGGAATAAATGATAGAGGAACGGTAAAAAGAAATAGGGTGGGTAAGAAATAGGGTGGGTAAGGGTACCTAAAGGAGTATCGTTAGAGAAAGCGCCGATGGGGGGGGGGGTGAGTCGATAAAAACAAATACTCTTCTCCCAAACTGAAGTTTAAGCATCCCCCACACCCACGCGCTAAAGTTTCCTCTCAGATCGTGAGTGGCTTCGAACAGAGACGCAAGTGTTTCATTTTTGGTCGACCCTGCCCAAAGCAGTGGGCGTTGGCTGTCGTTGGCTCACAGACTGTGGAATTTGATCCACCCAAGCCGAGGAACTTGCCGGGTCGGGCGGTTACGTGGGCTTGCCTTGGAGTGGTGGTAGATCGGCTTACTTGAGAGTGCACGGCGATTTGTTCAATAATAATAATAATAATAATAATAACGGCATAGCAAAAAGAAAAGAAAAGAAAAAAAAAGAAAAAAAAGAAGAAAAAAAAACAACTTGAATTATTTAGTCCTGCAGTAATCTCTTGTTGATATTACTGTTTTACATTTACTGACTACGGCGTACACATACATATACACACACACACACACACACACACACACACACACACACATATATATATATATATATATATAACTGTGTATTTGGGCAGCAATCCTGTTTTTATGCAGGTTTCATTGAAGACGACTGACAAGGCACTGTGATTAAGCGTTTTATTATATTTTTCTTGCATTCGTATAAGTGATTTCTTTTTGGGACATAGAATACGTACCTGTCCAAATGATCTGTGTATCCGAGCGCTTTCAATCAATTAGTCAACAAGGATGTTTTTCTGATTGTCAGGAATATGTAATTTTTTTATAGCAATTTGATAGGAGTTGATAGGTTCGCCTATCAGCCGCATCCATACTCCTCTTAGGTCTTTTAAACAGGAGATAATCAGCTTAATCTTCTTATTCTCTCTCTCCCCCTCCCTCTCTCTCTCTCTCTCTCTCTCTATATATATATATATATATATATATATATATATATATAAGGTAGGGTTTCCGGTTATTTCAAAAGTCTTCTTCAGCTCGGTACTTCTAACGCTTGTCCTTTCCTACGCTAATACAACTCCACACAGAAACCCTCTAACTTCTTAGGCGTTATATTGGGTGAAGATGAATAAAAATAATATAAATGTCTTAATTTACAAATATATTCGGCACGTTGTGGCCGGGTCCATAATTAACATCATTGAAAGTTTTCTTTCTTTTTTTTTATTGTTAAGGCCTCCATTATTATTTTAACCATTTTTTGCATTTAGGTAAGTGAGTATGTTGTACAGAGAGATTTTTAAGTTTCCGTGTGTATTTAAATGGTAGCCAATAGAGCTATGATCTCAGAGATGCAAGCTAAGTCATCTTGATAAGGATGTAGTTGCATGTCCGTTCTAATTATTCATTACAAATTTGTATTTATCAGGAACGCAGTTCCACAATGGACAAGTAAATTCATAAATAGTGTTGGTCCTATGTAGTTTGAATCTTTATGCTGAGATGTTATCGCTAACAATGAAATTGACTTTTAACATTTTTTTACAGAAGATAATCAGCTTAATCTTCTTATTCTCTCACACACACACACACACACTATATATATATATATATATATACACACACACAGAAAGATAGAATACATAGATAGAGAGATAGACAGTAAGAGACAATCATAGAGACGAAGTTATCATTCTCTGTATATATATATATATATATATATATATATATATATACACAGAGAATAATTTTGTCTCTATCTTTGTCTGTTACTATCTATCTATCTATCTATATATTGATTTTAAAATATATATATATATATATATATATATATAGAGAGAGAGAGAGAGAGAGAAAGATAACTTGTCTCTATCTTTTGTCTCTTACTGTCTATCTCTATGTATTCTCCCTTTTCTGTATATATATATATATATATATATATATATAGGTAACTATACTGTTTTCGAAAAACCTTCGAATTTTTGATTTGCCAATAATCAAATCAATCTCGAAGGAAAAAGTTTTTAAAAAGAAAGAGCTCGAAACATGAAAGTCTGTCGAAAAAATCGCACAGATACAGGTTCAAAGCCCAAAAAAAAACCCCGACAGGAGTAAACAACTAACTAAAAAACTAGGTTTGACTATATATATATATATATATATATACATGGTATGTGTGGTAAGATAAAGAACAATGAGGACATATTTATCTAACATGTTTCACTTTTAGTAAAGCTTCATCAGTGATTGAGGAAAAACAGACAAAAAGACAGAAATTCTGCTATTTTCAATTTTGTGTTTGATTTTCATTCCTCAGTTATGTAACAAACGTCTTTTCTGTCTTTTTCTGTGTTTTTCTCAATATTTGACGAAACTTTAAGAAAAATGAAAATGTTAGATTGATAAACATTTTCTATTTATTCTTTATTACGATCTATATTTGATCTACATTCGATCATTAACTTATATATATATATATATATATATATATATGACGTAGATTAATATTTGGATAATATTCAATGGCGGCACTTCCGAGTGTTTTCCTTCTGTGTGAGTTTCCTTCAGTTTTTTTTTATGATTGTAGCCTTTTTTAAAATCAAAATTGTGGTTGAATTTATTCCTATGCATTCATTAGTTTTGTGAGGCCTCTTTTGTGAACATAGATGCGTTTTTTTTTAAATTTCTGTTTTGTTTTCTCCAATATATTGGGAGGAACAGTTTTGGCAATTTATTTTATAAATGCCTGCTTCAGAAATATTATTTGTATTAGTGTTTGAGGATCTGAGTATATCCATAACGGTTTTTGAAGTATTTGTGATTATTTTAAGATTATTTAGATGGGATAATGTGCTGCCAAAACTGTTCCACCCAATATATTAGAGAAACAAGCAGGAATTTAAAAACAACAACAAAAAGAGGCATCTATTAGCACAAAAAAGAACTCACAAAAGACAACTTAACTCATGCATTAGTCGTACACAGAAATAAATTCAACCACAATTTTGATTTTAAAAATGCTACACTCATAAAAAAAGAAAATAACTCACTCAGAAGGAAAATCATTGAAAGTGCCGTCATTGAATATTATCCAAATATTAATCTACGCCGAGGCTTTTTGCCACCATTTTATCACCTTTATATATATATATATATATATATAATAATAATAATAATAAAACTTGCTACCAACTGATGTGCATAAAATTCAATGTGTATCAAGGTGGACCGAATTTCTGCCAATAAAGGGCTCGATAGTAGTTTAGAGCTCTAATTATTGAATCAGGAATAATAAATTTTACAATACTTTACGCAAAGATTCGTGGCTTCTTGATTATTTAGAACTTCGGATAAAATTGAGTGTATTGATTACAAAATGGGTTTATTATTATTATTATTTAATAATACGAAAATATGTAACAAATATATGCACATATTCATATATATATATATATATATATATATATATATATATATATATATATATTTATTATATATATATATATATATATATATATATATATATATATATATATATATATATGAGATAACGATATATATTTTTATATATCAAGAACAATATTGGGGAAATTGTATGACAAAGTGTGTGTATATTTTGTGTGTATATATATATATATCTTCGGAAATACGCACTTTTATTGCGCAGGAGGGTGTTGTCAGTGATGTAATTTCTCAGGTCATTGGGTAGTTTCGGGCCTTGCAACATAATACCATCCTCGCTGAGTCGACCCCGTCAGAGATGATCAGGCTCCGACGCACCCTCCTTATGCGACACTAATTTTTATAACTGTCTCAGCCGACTTGTACTCGATACTAGCAGGATACACATAGGGAAA